GACCTGTGGAAAAAGCCTGTGAACAAGGGAACGAGTCTCAAAAGCTTGTTAGGAAAGTAAAGTACAAACTCAACTACAAAAATAGGCTGACAATCAATAAATAAATAAATAAATAAATAAATAAATAAGCAAGCAAGCTTGACAGGTAATTTGTGATTGAGAAGGGTGATGGAGTAGCACTGGAACTGGTTATAAGAAAATCAAGCAATAAACAGGGCAAGCATTTTTTTTTTCTGTAGGAGCAGCTGATGGTGTAGTTGCTGCCAGTGTCAAGGCTGATGTGTTACAGAGACACAGGGCAGTAATTGATGAAGGACATTGTACTAGGCTATTTGAGAGTTTGAAGCTAGTATCAAGATGAAACCAGATACTGTTGCAATCGTCAGGAAAACCAGGCTGAAAGACCTTTTTGAGAAAAACTAATAGATATACTACATAAGGACAAAGAAAGAACGTAGCCTGGACCAATTGTATTTGCACCAGAAGCTGAGGAGTCTACACATATCAGGGGAAATTAGAAGGTACAGTGAATGATGCTGCAGAAGAGCTGCTGTGAAAATCTAGAATTTCTTAGACTGGATTTTTTAGTTGAGAGGTTTTTAACCCAGCATGTTTGCATACAGGCAATTTCAGAATTATTGGCAACATTATGAGATAATGGGCAGAAATGATTGTATAGAAATTTACACTGAAACACTTGAGAAAAATCAATGTGTTTTAAATTGCCTTCAGTCTCCAGTAACTGTAGTGCTGCCTATGACTTCCTATGATTTTGTGATTCCCTGGGGTAAAAATACAAGCCTGTACACATTTACATATTACTTTGCGTGTGCGCGTGTGCGCGTGTGCGCGTGTGTGTGTGTGTGTGTGTGTGTGTGTGTGTGTGTGTGGGGTGGTGGTGGTGGTGGTGGTGGTGGTGGTGGGGGGGGGTGTTTATTCATTTTTTCCCTCATTTATGTGTATGTTAGCCAGTTTTGCTCATTTTCATGAAGGGTGCCAATTATTCTGAAGCTGACTGTAGAGGCCCCATGAGCCTAAGCTTATCACAATGTATGACACCTCAGAGTAGCTTGCTGTGTCCCAACAGCCTTAGCAGTCATCCATCACCCACAGCATTAACCGCTCAGTTTACCTTTGCCTAGCCAGCAATTTTACTGCTGACTGGAAATAAAATATGCACAACACACATCCATTATTAAGGCTGGTTCTGCCACACACTTTGTTGTCGATTAACAGTAGGAGTGAATTTATTAAAGACTGAGTTTGACTTTAGCTGGAGTAAATATATATTGGCATTTGTTGCAACTTTGCTTTGCTAATTAATTGGCATTAGGTCAATGTGTGTGAATTGCTTGGTCAATGTAGGAATTCCAGATTCCTACATTAAACAACCAGTAAACCTGTAAATACTGTGGTTGTTCTGTGTGTTATCTTTGTGTCTACACCCAGGGCTGATTCTGAACATTTGCAAAAATGTACCTCAGAGGTGCCCCAGCTTCACCTATCATATTATTTTCTGATTGGTTGGATGGACCACTCTATATGTATATGTTTATATATGACTCGCTATATTACATCCCTGTGCAGATCATTGCCTTTGCTTTGTTTCATTGTTCTGTGTGTCTTGCTAGTGTTTTCTTAATTTTCACCCGCATATGAACCTTTGCCTATCGATGCACTTGATTATGCCTTGCTCTTTTGGATTTTTTTGTAGTTGTGATTTGTTCTTTTGCCTGTTTGGCTTCTGGAGCCCAAACTCACTATTTATGAAAAATAATTCAGCCTTCAATTCAGTCAAATCTGGACACTGAGATGGTTATTGATTTTGCATTTCCAAAACCTTTTATTGATTGTGTTGCTATGATTAACCTGGACTCCACGATCTGGGCTTATACTGTTACTTGTAGAATTCAAAACAAATTTTCCAGACTTTTGAAGATTGTATTTAATGTAAATAATTTTATTGTTGATATATTTTTAACATATTTTACCTGAAGTGTGCAGGTCAACAGCCATCTGTCTTTTGTGCTAAAGTCACTCTATTATTTCAGTGGATGACAAACAGATTTTGTGTGCAATGTGTGTTAATATAATACACTGTACATGCAGCTCAGTAATATGAATTGTTATCCACATACTCTGGATTATTTTAATGTTTATTTTATATACACTATATTACCAAAAGTATTCGGTCACCTGCTTTGACTCACATATGAACTTAAGTGCCATCCCATTCCTAACCCATAGGGTTCAATATGATGTCGGTCCACCTTTTGCAGCTATTACAGCTTCAACTCTTCTGGGAAGGCTGTCCACAAGGTTGAGGAGTGTGTTTATAGGAATTTTTGACCATTCTTCCAAAAG